TGGCTTGGAACAAATAGTTCTTAGCCTTGAGATCCTTCAATTTTTCCTTCTCAATTTCTGCCCTCTGTGCATCATTTGCACCTGCTGCTGGTTCTAGAACTCCAACTTCAACAATAGTCCAATACTCTTTGGACCAGAGAAAATTCTCCATCAACATACTCCAATGGTCATAGTGATGACCATCAAAACGAGGGATTGAGGGCTGGACATAATTTTTGGAAGCCATGGAATTTTCCAAGAATAGGCTCTGATACCAAATGTTAAAAAATCAAAGATTCCCGAAAAGAAGAAGATGGAATGAAAAACTGAATCTCTCATTAAACTGAAAATAATCCAACCTTTAAATAGGCTTTACAAGATAATATTATCTAAAAGGATAACTAATCAATCTTATTTAATCTAATTTAAATGATAACAATCTAAAACAAATAAATAACTTAAACTTCCTAAAATATTGAGATAATTGCTAAATAATAGGATCTAATTTCCAACAAAGTCAATTCAATGTAAATCGTTTTTGTGGTTGAAGGATAGATCAAAAGGAAGCCTATTTTCTATACACGACTGGAATTGCAACCCATTGGGTTGTGCAAAGACAGTGAGATAGTCAGGTAGTTGGGGTAGAAAGAAAATATGATGTAGATGGAGAGCTTCACTGAAACTTGATGTAATTGTTATAAGCAAGGGTAAGAGTACCCTTGTACTCCAAAATAAATAAATAATTTTATTTAGCTGATCGAAAAAAAAATATTTGTATAATATCATTAGATAGGGATGATTTATAGCTACACTTATAATTAGTCAACCTGAATATTGTTACTATTTTAAAAAATAAAAAATCTAACCGTTAAAAGGTTAAGGAACCAATTATTTAGTTTTAAAGATTCAAGATGAAAGTGTGAGGTCCCAAAAGTTTTGGCTTAAAAGGATTTGTTTTCCCATAATAAAAACTATTTTGTTTAGCTTATATAAAAAAATTTCATGTGTAGGGGATGAGACGAGACTCTTAGCCAGTGTCAACCAGAGTTTTTGGGTCTGGTCCGATGATTGACCTATTTTGGCCATTGGATTTGGTTCAATCGGTTAAATTGGTTCATTTGACTGGTTCAACCGATCAATTAAGAAAAACTCTTATTTTTTTATGTTTATATTAAATTTTATTCTTGTATATTATTTTCACTCTATTTTTAAGAAATAATTATCATAAAATCAACTTAAAAATTATCATTTAAGTAATTTAAAATAATAAATTTAATTAAATACCTACAACTTAATTATTTTGACTTTTGATATGCTTTTTTTTTTTAAGTTCATAGACCAATTTGAGAGAAAATAAACTTTCTAAACCAAAATGATAATAAACCTATAACTAATGGACTAAATGTTAAATTTAGGCCATTTCACTTTGCACAACAACCCAAAATTACCTATTTTTAACACGTGCATCTATCACCATCCCCAATCATCCCCACACTCCTCAACCATTTTAACAATGTCAGTAATCTTCCTCTTCCCCCCAATTTAACCCCTTTTTCTAAAAAAATAAAATTGAATAAAATCTTTTTGAATCTTGTTTTATATCCTTCTTTTGATCCTTTTTTTCTGGAGCTTGATCTATCCTCTTTGTTTTCAATCTCCAAGAATCGGTTGAGATCGGATTCAGATGGCGGCATCAAGACGGTTGCATGACCTCTAACCTCAACCAGGGAACAAGATCTGCGTCGACTGTGCCCAAAAGAATTTGCAATGGGCTACGGTCTCCTATGGCATCTTCATGTGTTTGGAGTGCTCCGACAAGCACCGTGGTCTCGGCATCTATATTTCTCTTGTCAGGTCTGTTACCATGGACTCTTGGTTTCGATGGAGGTGAAGCAGGGAGACCAGGCTACGTTTGCTGCGGCTGCTCACGAAGGAGATGAGGTGGTGCCTGACGGGTGGAACGGGTTGGGCGGTTGGCGCGGGTCGAACGAGTCGAACGGGTTTGGACGGGCCAACTCTCAAAACGAGCCGAAGCATGCACTCTGCCCATTTTTAAGTCTAGGTCCGATTGAACCGATTCAACCGACCGAACCGGACCGAGTTTTAAAACAATGGTGTGAACAACATAAGCTTCCTCAATCCTAACATTGATATATTACAAGCTTACTATTACGGCATTCCTAGTGTGTTTGGGACCCAATTTTTCTCTTTTCCCCTACGTTATATGATTTCACTGCCGGAAATTTATCAGCGGACATGGACATTCCGGAACTAGGAACGAAAGCAAAGATACTGGATTACAATTCCACAGTGGAGCTTGTTTTACAGGGGACAACCTTGTTTCTAGGCAGTGACCATCCAATCCATCTTCATGGCTTTAGTTTTTATGTTATGGGGATTGGTTTAGGGAATTTTGATAAGGACAAAGATCCCTCAATGTATAATCTGGTTGATCCTCCCCTTCAAAACACTGTTCACGTCCCTAAAAATGGCTGGACCGCCATTAGATTCCGAGCTGACAACCCTGGTACGTATCTTTCTTATCAGCAAAATAAAATAGATTGAAACACGGAGTAGTATAAGAAATATTCGAACTTATTTTAAAATTATTATTATTCTTTTTGTCATTCACTTTTTGTTTTTTGTTTTTCTTTTTTCTTCTTGAATAGGAGTATGGTTCATGCATTGCCATTTCGATCGACACATGACATGGGGCATGGATACAGTATTCATAGTTAAAAACGGCAAATCTCCGGAGGCTAAACTGTTACCACCACCACCTGACATGCCTCCATGTTAAGGCTGTTTCAATTATACTCAATGTTGCAAATTCTCTGGGTAAAGAAGTATATGTCCTCCTATATGTATATGTATCTGGACAAAAGGAAGCATTCTAATCATTGAAATAATTTTGCTAAATAGTTTTGTTTACCAGGAGAATTCTAGCATCTGCAGTCTTATTTTTAGGGGTAATCTACTTGTGTAGACACTAAACTTAAACATAACTTTCATTTTTATTAATCATCTTTTAAATTTGTAAACTTAGTCACTAAACTTGGTTTTAAAGTGAAACGGTTGGTTATTAATTGTCAACTCGCTTATTCTGTTAAGTTCTTTTATAGCGTGGCACTATGTAGCCTCTACATGGTCCAAGAGAACTACTTTTCAACCAATAAACTTTAAATGCTTTACAATTACATCCAAAAAATCAAGTCCATCAACTACTAAATTCAGTGAAATGGGCCTTAATATGCGTTAAAATACATTTTTTTGGTATGTGTTAAAATAAAATTTATAAAGTCAACACAGTGTGTATACCGTTACTGTCATAGATTTATTCGACAACACCACCACCACAGCTATATATGGTAGGATACACTGAAAACTACACTCCATCCTGGCCGCCAGCGTTCCATGACTCACGGGCATATGATAATTTGATAGAAATTTTTTGGAGCATAGCTGAGAAAGAGCATCCAATTGACGTGCCAATGGAAATAAACACACATTTGTTCTATACTCTCCCAATCAACAGTCCATGCAAAAGCAACTCCTGCCCAGGTATTCTTTTTTGAAGTATAGTTAACTTTTTTAGTAATTAAATACAAATATATTAATTACTAGATAAATATTATTTTTATTCCCCAAACTTTATATATAATTTTGAATTTTTCATACATAGTTTTCTACTTGAATTATAGGAATAAATTATAAGGCAGTGGAAAAGGGGATTATAGAGGGGTTGGGTATTGGAAAGGGAAATTTCTCTATTTCACATTTGCTTTCACAGACGACACTGTTATTTTGGGCAAGGTAAAATTAGAGTTATACGTATGGGCAATAAAAGGAATATTAAGATGGTTTGAGCTAATGCTTGGATTGAAAATCAATTTCAAGAAGAGTAGTATCATTGGTCTAAATACAGAAGAATCATGGCTTACTAGGGCGGCAGAGATGCTGATATGTAAAAAGGCAAATATTCTGTTTATGTATCTTGGTATGTCGATTGGTGATGACCCTAGAAAGAAAAAGATGTGGTCAGTGGTGATTGAGAAAATTCATAAAAGACTTTCAAGTTGGCAAGCGAGATCCCTATCATTTGGTGGCCGTCTAGTTCTCCTAAAATCAGTACTTTCTTCTCTTCCACTTTATTATTCATCTATCGTTAAAATATGTGTTACTGTGTTGAAAGTGATTGAGAAACTCCAAAGAAATTTCTTATGGGGAACTATTGGGGAGGGGGGGTAGAAAAATTTGTTGGGTAGGTGGGAAAAGATATGTTTGGACAAGGAGAAGGGTGGCTTGGGTGTTATTAATATTAGACTAAAAAACTTGGCACTTCTAGTAAAATGGTGGGCAAGATTTGAAATGGAGCAGGATAGCCTTTGGAAAAAGGTGATAGTTGAGAAATATTATGGGAATGATAATGCAGCAAGTGTGGAGAATGTTAGAAGGAGACGGTTGTCTAAAGTATGGGCAGATATAGTATCTATTGGGTTAGAGGGAATAGAATCTAGAATTGTAGTGGGCAAAGGATTTAGATGGGAAGTAGGAGAGGGGAATAACATTAGATTTTGGAAGGATGTGTGGGTAGGTGATTGTAATACCCAGAATTTTTATTATTGTTATTATTATTTAATTCCTTAAGGATGTGTATGCAATAAGGTGGAAGTATGAGGACTGATGTGTATAATGGTGGTAAAGATAAAGGAGTGGCTGGTAAAATGTGCAAAACTTAACCTAGAAATTTAAGAATAGCGTGTTATTTTTCTGCAGAATCGGGGAAGGGGGGCTGTGGGTTTCCTCACTCAAAAAAAAAAAAAAACAGCAAGGTGACTGCACAAATTGGGGGAAAATAGTTGCCAAGTCCATTCAAGGTAAATTTCCTTAGTTTTATAGTGATTTCTTGGTTTTAATTTAGGAATTGTCTTGAAATTGTGGAATAGATTTTGGGAAAGGAT